CTCGCCCCGCCCCCCGAGTTCCCCAAATCTCCTCTTGCCTTTTCCTCCTCCCCTGCCATATCCTCGTCCTCTCCACCCCCCTTCCCCCCCTCCCCGCCCCCCTCCCGAAGCCTTCTCTCCCCCCCCCCCCATCCTCCTCGTCCTAACTCCCCCCCCTCCTCTTACCTCTTCCCTCCCTCCTCCTCCTCCTCCTCTCCTCCTCCTCCTCCTCCTCGTCCTCGCCCCCCTCCTCCTCCTCCTCCTCTCCTCCTCCTCCTCCTCGTCTCGTCCTTCCTCCTCCTCCTCCTCCTCTCCTCCTCCTTCCCCCCCCCCTCTTCCCCCCACTGCCCCCCGCCCTCCCCCCCCCCGCGTTTGCCAGGCCCGAGTGCCTCCAGACCCATCAATAACCACGCTTTGACCAGGCAGCGCGCGGTCTCGGGAGTGCCGCCCACGAAGCCGAACCGCCACTTGCACTTGGTCCTCCCGTCGTCGCCGCGATTGATGCGGCAGCCGCAGTTGCCGCCATACGCTGCGAAGTGGCCGTTGACGCACACCTCGCTGTAAGACCAAGGCCCCCAGGGGACCGCGCGGATCTCCCTGCCGGCAGCATCGTCTCCGTCGCCGCCTGCTGGGCCACCGTCGCCTGGTCCGGGCGGCGGATCTGGGGCGGGCGGCGGATCCGGGACGGGGTCATCAGGGTCGCTGTCGGCACTTTCACCTCGAACCCCATCGGCGCTTCCAGACGACCCCTCGTCCGTCGAGCCAGACACGTCGGAGCCGCCAGCGGCGCCTCCCACAGCTCTGGGCTTCCGGCGCTTCATGATGCCGTGGGGCTTCAACGGTCGAGCAAGTCCCTCCCTCATGCGCTTTGCGTGGGCAGACTGCTTCATGCGCGCCGCCCTGGTGTAGGGGGAGATGGTGCAAGTCGTGCTGAGTAACGTGTCCTTCCAGTCGAGCGCCAAGATCACGCTGGACGGCGACGGCGGGATCTTGTCGGGGTCCACGGGCGCATTGCTCACGGTCACTTTCGTGAGGGCATTGCACCGATCATGCCCCAAGATCCCGCCCAGGAAGGTAACGTCAACGAGCTGCTCTTCTTGACCCCAAGCCCTGTCAAGATGAACGTGTAGATTAGGTGCGTCTATCACCGAAGGCGTCAACATCGATACACGAGGGTTCCCCAGTCTCACGCAGCCCACGCAAAGCCAAGCGACGAAATCGAAGTCATGGCCAATAAAGCGGATGCAACAGAACACGCCAGACGAATCCTTTGTGACATGCATGCGGAAGCCATGAGCGATCCTCTTCAAAACAGCCAATCTACCGCGGTCCCGGGTCGCGCACAATTCGGGATGAGCCAGTGGGCAGGGCGCGTAATATTCGAACTCCTCGTCTGCCTGAATATCGCCGTGGTCTGCCACGAAGAGAGATTTAACCAGCCTGTCCCTCGCCTTGTCCGCGTACGCAGTGAAGCCAAGCGGTCTGGGATCATCCTCCCGGCCGACGAAGGAGCGGATCTCGGCCTCGAAGGCTTCGGGCAAGAACGGCGCGCGGCGGCTCCCAACCGCATCCAGCAACGTTTTGACGACCTGGCAATCGGGCGAAGGATGGCGTAGACTCTCTAAACGTGATTCATCCGCCTCAGCTCGAAGGGCCAATGCCTCACAATACCGCTCATCTGCCTCAGCCCGTTCCAAAGCCTTCTGAGCATCTGATAACAAGCTGTACTCGCGACCTTTCTCCACCTGCCACTGGTTGTACTCCTGCTTCGTCATGGACGATGGCCGGGCTGCAGACTGCTTTCTCAACCAATTGACGAAGCCACTGCCGCGCGACGGCTCCTCCAAGGCACGCGCGGGGGAGCGGGGGCTCAACTCGCTCATCCTCCCCCTCCGCATCGTCCGCAACATCGCCATCCTCATCAACGTCATCACCATCATCATCATCATCATCATCACCATCATCATCATCGTCGTCATCATCATTGTCATCATCGTCACCATCAACATCATTATCACCACCAGCGTCGGCATGATAATCCCACAGGGGGTGCTCTAGCACGCCAGGCTGGCGGTGCTTCGGGCTTTTCCCCCCCTCCCAAGCCCCGAGGGGGGTGATAACTTGCGTTGAAACGGCATTCTCGGCTGCGGGGTGGAAGAGCAGCCGCGGAGGGGGCCACGGAGGGGAGTAGTGGGGGAGGATAGGGGCGACGAAGGAGGGAGGCGGTGGCGGTGACTGGCCACGAGCCCCACCACAAAGGCCTAGCTGCATCGCACCCGGCGCCAGGCGCCCGGCGGCAAGGGAGGAAGGGCGGGGAAGAGAAGAGAGAGGATGAAAGAGAGGGCGGAAGGCTGTCAGAGAGGGGGAAGGGGGGGGAGGGGCGGGCGAGGACCCCGCGGAGGGAGGGAGGGAGGGAGCATGTTTTGTTGCGTTGGGCCTGTCAGCAGAGCGAGAGGGAAGAGGCGGGGAGGGGGGCCCTCAGGGAGGGGCGGCCCCTAGGGGCCGAGAGCCGCCTGCCGCGGAAGAGGGCTGAGGTGGGCGGGATTGGAGAACGTTCCATCCTGCTTCTTCGAGACGCACCTCAGCGGGACGCCGTCCTCGATCAGTTGCTCGCGAGTGGTGGACCGCGGGTCGTCCCCGCCTCTCAGACGATGCTGCGACAACAACTGGGCCATGAAGCCCGTGGTGCAGAACCTCTCCACGTCGCAGCCGTCCTGGTCCACGGAAACCCTGCACAACGCGAGGAGGCGCTCGCACCACCTTCCCAGTGTCGCAAGCGTTGACGTCGTCGAGGTCGTCGTCGACGTCGCCGACGTGCGTTCATTTGTGCGCGTGCGCGTGCGTGCATGAGCGTGTGTTTGTGTATGGTCGTGCGTGCGCTTGCGTGCGTGTGCGTGTGCGAGTGTCGTGTTGTGTGCGTGCGTGTTGCTTGCTTGCGTGCGCGTGCGCGTGCGTGCGTGAGTGTGTGTGTGTATGGTCGTGCGTGTGCTTGCGTGCGTGTGCGTGTGCGAGTGTCGTGTTGTGTGCGTGCGTGTTGCGTGCTTGCGTGCGCGTGTGCGTGCATGTTCGCGTGCTGTCTGGTGTCGGGGGGATTTGACGCACCCGTCGCATGTTGCAGAACTTGAACACGCACGCCATGGTGAGGATGAGGCGGCGGAACTCCGCGTCCTCGAACATCTCGGCCCCAGAGTTGAACAAACGACGGGCCTTCAAAGAGAAATCCTTGTCGAGGCAACACTCCTCGCACGCGTGGAGGCGGTCCGCCACGCTGGCCCTGCCTTCAGCGGTCACCTTAGGATGTACCATGCCTGCGAGTTGATACGGGAAGTGGTTGTAACATTCGAATCTCCATTGCACCTGTGATACCATGTTAAGTCCAATACCCCTCAGTTCTGACATGGTGAAGGCACGCTTGGACTCTGGGAAGAAATCGCACAGCACCCATGCGTCCCCGTCTGTCCCAGGCCGAAGTTCTGCAAGCAACTTCTCCTTGCACAAGCTAAAAGGCTTCAATTTACTGCCATGTACCACGTCGAACAAGCCTTTGGTGTAAGAATCGAGATGCTGCAGCTCGCCCATCAGCCGCTCTATGTGCACCGCCAAGAAGCATACCAACAAAATCCTCTGGATCCTCGCATCATCCTCGCACGCGCACATTGACCTCCATGCCTTCTTGCGCGTGCGCCTCCTTGCCCTCTCGCCGGCGTTCTCCTGGTTCCCCAGCGCGCGCACGTGGTATGGGTTCGGAAGGCCTTGTCGAATATAACGCATAAGTAGCTTATGACACGCGAAGCCGAACCTCACTCTGTTACATATTTCCCCGCACGAGCACCAGTCGCCCAGACTCGGCGTGCCGACGTCGAGAGCCATGAGGACATCCCACTCTACTGCAAGTCCGAACATATGCGCAGCGCAACTGTCCACATCTGCACAACAACCAGGACCCGAACAATAATGCTGAACGTGAGGGATGGTCCAATCGCCGTTCCACTTCCGGGGGAACGCAGACGCCGGGGAGTCGTCATCATCCAGATCAAGGGGCGACTCCTCGTCTAACCCGTCAGCAACCACAAAACACTGCCGTCTCATCCGGGTGCGCATCATGAGTCTTGTTCCTTCGGCCAAAATGCTCCGGCGGGCGCCCCAGCCTGAAACCTCCAGCAGAAAGATCGGCATGGATGATACTCTTCAATGCATCCTGCAATGTATTCTGGAAGGCCCAATGCGCACATGTTACATGAATTGCATGCACATTGCCGATGACGTCTCTCTCTCTGTTCCCCACTACGCGGTGGCCCTGATGAGCGCAGCACCTGCCGTTGATGGCGAAACAGTTGTGCGGGAGGTCGGCGAAGAATTTCGCCTTCCTACGCTTGTTGGCGCTGTGGTCGTCTGGAGCCTGGGGGGGGGAAATGGAAGGGCGGGGCCAGGGTGGACGCCCCGCCGTGGACGCGCCTGCGGAAGAATCTCCAGGCTCTCGCACAGAGCAGGCGGGGGGGGGGCGGGGGAGGGGGAAGAGGAGGAAGAGGAGGAGGAAAAGGTAGGACGAGGGAGGTGGCGGAGGAGGAGGACAACGACGACGACGAGGAGGAGAAGGAAGAGGACGAGGATGATGAGGAGGACGAGGAGGAGGAAGATGAGGAGGGGGAAGATGATGACTACCTACCAGACCACCCCAACCCAACCCGAAGACCCGAATTTCGGGTTGGGGGGGGCACGGGTTCCATATGTGTTTTCTCGATGTTCCCCGACCCCCCCCCCCCCACTGGAAATGGACGTCAACTTGAGGCCTTCGGGTTGGGTTGGGGTGGTTTGGCGGGCGGTGAGATGAGGAGGAGGAAGATGAGGAGGAGGGAGAGACGGCGGCGACGCGAGGGGATCTGGGAAGGGCGAGGATGGGCAAAAGAAAGTAGCGAGGAAAGGGGGGGGGGCGGAGGACTCAGACAGAGACCCCCTGCGAACCCACGGGGCGAAAGATGCGACAGGGAGGGCCTATTGCCGATATGGTGATGCCCTCGAGCCTCGGCGACCAATGAATACTTGTGCACCGCTGCCAAGGGGCGCAACTTGTCCCGCGAGAAGGTCGGCGTGGAGCTCTCGGTGGCCTTCAAAAGAACGCTGCAATTGTTGCTCTCAAGGGCCTTGGGCATGCAGTATGAACGGAAGCCCTCCAGCACGCCGTCGGTGGTCAAGTAGTGGCAAGTCAATCCCTGAACAAACACTTCAAGAACGCCAAACCGTGGCTCGGGCCGCCTCGGCATCAATCTACGGTACTCCGAATACGTCACCAGGCGCCACTCCTTAGACTCTTTATCCTGCACAGGGTATCTGGCAATGGGGGCCACCATGTCCTGGATATTCCCGAACTTCAGACGGATCGGGGTCGCGTCGTAAAAGATGCTCCATACTGGGGGGCCCTGGATGGACTCCGTGCGATCCTCGATGAAACGGTCCTGTCGCATGGAAATCAGCGAGGCACTGGCACTCAAGATGGCGAGCTCTCGGCCGCGGGTACCGTCTACTCCACTGCGCATCGTCTTGTTTTTCCCCACCTGCTTCCAAGCGCTGGTGAGCACGCTACTCGCGAGGAACTGGTTGGGGTGCAGGGCCCTAGCACCGTCGGGCGGCTCTACGTTGATAGTGTCGCCGTACCTCATGCGCCCCCTGTTCCAAGCCCCGCCCACCATGCTTTTATCCGACGCCCCTCCAAGAATTTGGGCGCCCGAAATGGGCACGGAAAATGGGTGCAATGCCCAGCGACAAATGTAGTCCCAAACCAACAGCGGCCGCTGTTGGGCAGGCGGTCATCTGTCTCGAATGGACACAGGCCGAGGTGGCGTGGACGGCGAATCCTGTTCAAAATGAACAGGAACTGCTGTCGGGCATTGTACCCGTTCTTTCCGCGCCCATTTCGGGCGCCCAGAAAGAAGGGGCGCGAAATGCGTCGGCAACTCTTAGCGCTTCCTGGCGCCCGAAGGACGCCCACTCACCCTTCCCAGGGAGGCCCGAGCTAATCTCGACACCTCGGCCCACGGCGCACCCTTCACGCGTATCGTTGCCCATCTCTCTTGTCCGATGCTCCATGCATTTCCCCCATCCCCCTGCCCCCTCCTTGCTGATCCCAGACCAATGTCCCCAGAATCACCAGGCTAGATGGCGGAGCGTCGGCAGACGCGACGATCAGCCACTGCCTCCTCCTTCTCGCGCTCGGCCTTCTTCGCCCTCTTGCGCTCGTGCAGCCTGGGCTGGGAGGATGAAGATACCGACGCTGCCACTCCTCGATTCTCTCCAAGACGCTGTTCTGGCAATGATTTCGAAGCGAACCCAACCGCCAACCGCGGCGACGAGGGAAAGGCAATGGCCAATGACATCAATGTGTTTCCCTCCCTGGACAACCACGCCGAGTGCTGCGGCCCGCCTCGGGCAGCGCCAGCGAAAGGGCCAGGGGCAGGCCTGCGCCTGCCACCCGGCGCCCGCGCCGGGCCCAGCGCCTGCAGCCCCGCCAGCAGATCCCCAGCGGCGGGGTTCGCCGGGGCCGCCTGGGCGACGGCGCCCTGGCCCGCCGCGCTAGGCAAGGCATCGAGCCCAGCCCGAGCGGCCGCCCTGTCCATGGCGCATGGCCCGCGCGGGCAGGGCAGGGGGGAGGGGGGTAGAGTGGGGGAGGTGGAAGACAGGAGAAAGAGCAGGAGGAACAGGAGGGAGAGAAGGAGAGAGGAACAGAGGAGGGAGGCTGGAGGGATGAGAGAGGAGGGAGGCCGAATGGCGTTTTTCAGTTCGGACGTGGCTGAACGAAACGGCGCCAATTCCTGTGCAAGGGGGGCGGGGGAAAGAGGGGGGGAGGGGGGGGAGGGATGGAAACGGCAAGGGGGACGGAGAAGGGAGGCAGAAACAACAAGGATGGAGAAGAGAAGGAAGACGAGGGGGGGACCGAGGGAGGAAGGAGGGCAGGAAGGAGGGCGGAGGGAAGGAGAAGGGCGGGGGGAGGCAGGGGGGGCGGGCGGGGGCGGGAGGAGGGAGGGAGGACGGAGGGAGGACGGAGGTAGGATGGACAGAAGGCCAGGGGGCGCAGAGCACAGAGCCGGTGGCCGCGGAGGCGGACCGAAGAGGGTCGTCGCCACCGCCGCCGTCGACGCCGTCGTCGTTGTCATCGTTCTCATCGTCGTCATAGTAATCATCATACTGTCGTCGCCTCTGCTGTCGTCATCGGTGGCAAACGTCGTCGTTGTCGTTGCGGCTGTCGCCGACGCCGCTTCCCCCCCTCCTCCTCCTCCTCTTCCTCCTCCTCCTCCTCCTCCCTCCTCCTCCTCCTCCCGTCGACGGCGACGTCGACGCCGTCGCAGTCACGCACTCCATAATCCCTGCTAGAAGAATCTAGGTCCCTGAACTGTCGTGGATTGACGGCCTTGGTAACATGAATAGCGCTAGCGACATCAGAAACATGAATACGCACCCATAAGCTACATGTCGTTAATGAATTCATGGTCAGGACATGTTTCAATCATATTGAATGCTCACAATATTAGAACAACTGGCATAACGTACAATGAAAGTATTGTTGCAGTCGCATTACAAAAATACGGTACACATAACATAATAGTTCAATACCACTAAAAATTATAATGGCATACATTCCAAGTTCTAGTATATCAACTATTAATATAAAACATAAATAACGCATGACTAGATCGTATATACTTTTAACACATAACATAATAACTAATAATTTCGATGTGCGTGTAATTTATACGTCGGTAGAAATGTATGAACAGCTAAATACTGAGTAGTGAATAATAACTTGGTATTATGAATATTCAACTCCATAAGAACTAAACATATGAGAACAATAGTAACTAGTTATCAACTATTATCTATATAATATGATTAAATGTCGTGATTTATTCTTTTTTAGTATTGAATTATTTCCTTGTCCTTCGCAAACGAAGCTTTCCTGGCGCGACCGCGCAGGTCAAGACATGCGACGTCCTGATGTTTGCCGCACGCGGTCCCCGGAGGTCCCGACCCTTTCCTGGGGCCGGCTTTTCGTCCTGACTCGTGTCTTGAACGTCCTGGGGCCCAGCGAGGGCCCCAGAGAACGAGAACGGCCAAAAACCTCCCGTCCTGACTGCTGCACGACGCGAACAGGTCTGGGTCGGATAACACGGGGGAAACAGGTTTTTGATTCGCGGGTCGAGAGCGCACCTCTTCCGGTCGAAGCCAAGCGGGCCGCGCGAAGCTTGAATTAACCATTGAGGGGGAGGACAGGGGGAGGGCACAGCCTCAGAGCGAGGCCGGGAGGAGGAAAACCCTCTGGAACAGGCTGTGGGCACGGGGGAAACGGGTCCCGAGGGCAACGGGTCCTGGACCCTGGAGCCTTCCCCCAGGAGGAGCTCTTCACATCCCGAGTCAGTTCCTGACGCTCCCCGGGGCCCAGTGCCCCGATCGAGCCCGAAGACACAGCGAACCAAAAACGTGAGGCTCCGCTCCTCTCAGGGCGAGTCGGCTCTGCGGATCCGCTCCTCTCATGGCCCAGACCCCCGACGTCATGATTGTTTCATTACGTCGACCCCCAGAGGTCCCGACCTATTCCCCGGGACCGGCTTTGCATCCTGAGTCGTTTTTTGACGCTCCCGAGGCTTGGTGAGGGCCCCCGGAAGCCGAAAATGAAGGAGAACCTTCCGTCATGAATTTTTCATAACTCGAGGGGGTCGAGTCGGATCCTCGCCGCCGTCGTCTCCGACGCCCACTGGGCGGTGGGCGCCGCCACGGCCGCCCGGGCGGCCCGCCTGGCCCGCGCCCGGCCGCGCCCTGCCCGCCGGGCGTGGGGCCGCGCGACCCGAGCTCGAGGCCGCGGCGGCGGCGGCCGCCTGGGCGATCGCCTCCGCCTGCTGCGCCTCCCCCCGTCTGACTCCCCCCCCTCCTCCTCCACCTCCTCCTCCTCCTCCTCCTCCTCTCCTTCTCTCCTCCTCCTCCTCCTCCTCCACCTCCTCCCCTCCTCCTCCTCCTCCTCCTTTTCCTCCTCCTCCTCCCCTCCTCCTCCTCCTCCTCCTCCTCCTCCTCCTCTTCTCTTTCTTCATATTTATCTTCTCTCCTCCTCCTCCTCCTCCTCCTCCACCTCCTCCTCATCCTGCTCCTGCTCCTCCTGCCTCTCCATGCTCACTTCTCCTGCTCCTGCTCCTGCTCCTGCTCCTGCTCCTGCTCCTCCTCCTCCTCCTCCTCCTCCTCCTCCTCCTCCTCCTCCTCCTCCTCCTCCTCCTCTTTCTTTATATTTACCTTCTCCTCCTCCTCTCCTCCTCCTCCCCTCTCCTCCTGCTCCTGCTCCTGCTCCTGCTCCTGCTCCTCCCCTCCTCCTCCTCCTCTCCTCCTGCTCCTCCTCCTCCTTCTCCTCCTCCTCCTTTTCCTCCTCCTCCGCCTCCTCCTTCTGTTTCTTCATATTTCTTCTCCTCCTCCTCATCCACCTCCTCCACCTCCTCCTCCCTGCTCCTGCTCCTGTTCCTGCTCCTCCTCCTCCTCCTCCTTCCTCTTCCCTCCTCCTCCTCCTCCTCCTCCTGCTCCTCCTCCTCCTCCTCCTCCTCCTTCTGCCCTCCTCCCACCCTCCTTCCCTCCCTCCATCCATCCTTCCCACCTTCCCTCCCTCCTTTTCCTCCTCCTCCTCCTCCTCCTCCTCCTCATCCTCCTCCTCCTCCTCCTCCTCCTCCTCCTCCGCCTTCTCTGAGAGCCTGGCTTCTCAATGTTTTCTTCGAGCCGTGCGTCTTCGCCCAAATTTGGGTCCCGGGACCCTCACGCAGATCGATCCGGCTCGGAAAAAAAGGCGCAAGAAGGTGAGGTCTAGGGCTCCCGTCGTGTTTTGCTGCGGTGCTTCAGTTTTTCGAAACATCGGGACTCAGGGCCCCTCCAGCCCTCCCCAAACCCTCCCGGGTCCTGAAAAAGTCATGATGGAATGTGGCTCGTTATGTTAAGCCTCTAGGGGCCCCTTTTGGGCCTCGGGGCCGTCAACAAAACGAGTCGGGACAAAAACCAGCCAGAGGGAATGGGTCGAGACCTCTGAGGGTCAGAAATCTCACAATTCCCTCCCACCTCCTGCCCGGCGGCGTCACCGACGCCGACGCCGATGCACCGATGCCCCCGCCCACGTTATTACCGACGCCGACGCCGACGTCGATGCACCGATGCCGACGCCAGGAGAGCCCAACATCGAATCGAGAAGTCGAACCGGCGATCGACATGAATCGGATCGGCGGAAATCGGCAGCCGAGTCGGAAGACGTCGAATCCGCAGAAATCGGCAGGCCACTGGGCCTGCGTTGAGAAGTCGGGAATCCACGCTGGAATCCAGTGTGGGGCCGACTTGGGATCGGGAGCCAACGAACTCGGATGGAGTCGAATCGGAGGAGCCGATATGAGCCCCGGCAGGTCGAGACCCATTCAGGAGGGGAAAAGCACACAGACACATTTTTTGATATGCGGGGCGAGAGCGAACCTCCTCCGATAGATGCTAAGCGGGCCGCGTACAGCGTTAATTAGAGAGGGGGGGCAAAAGAAGGCGGGGCCTCACGTCAAGGCCGAGAGAGGGCGAAGCCCTGGGATCAGGCGGTGCCGAAGTTGAAATGCAGGAAAAGGTACACCTTGGACAGGAGCCCGGTGGCGAAGTCCCGGGAGGCGGAAAGTCGGTGGTGGTGCCGTCAGCGGCGCTTCGACACCA